GTGAATCATCTATGGGCAATCCTCCAGGAGGCTTGGAGTAATATATCAAGTCAATGTTTGAATAAACTGACTGCTCGGATGCCTAGTGTTGTCCCTTATTATCAATGCAAAATGGTCACTAACTAAAGAGGATTTATGCTGATATTGCCCAAAAACCCTATTTTGTTCAGGCGTTTCCAAACTTTTGGAGGGCAGTGTAGAATCTTGATTAAACCATTATAGAATATTATGTTTTGTTGTTGTTATTTTGGCTCCTCCTGTTAGGGGTCGCCACAGCAGATCAGTGGCTGCGGTTTGCTCCCTGGCCGGGAATCGAACCCGGGCTACAGCGGTGAAAACACTGTGGCCTAACCGCTAGCCCTCCAGGGACCTGATTACTATATAAAATACATTTCTAAAAAATATACAAATAACTAAGTAAGATTAATATATAAAGCACATGTAGATATGCACAAAAAAGCACAATAAATCCTGTACAATGGTACAGGAAATAAATGAGATATATAGAAATATATAAAAGGTATAAAAATAAAACAGTAAAATAAAATATCACATAAAACAGCTACGAAATCGCAACTAATGCGTCTAACTATCACGACTATCATCTAATGATCATGAACAAATGTCAGAACGTACAGACAGGTTTCAAGACAAGATTTTAAATAATTTACTTTAAAATAAAAGAATATATGAATTAATATTTGCTATAAAAGTAGAACATGCTAACGGAGCCCTGCTTACAGAATGAAGTGAGTACTACAACACCTGGCTGAAAGATGGACAGACTCCCGTCTGTGTGTCCGAACACCACTTTGCCCTTCTTTATCGGGTGCCAGCGGAACAGGCAGATATCCGACAGGAAGCTGTGAGCCTCTTTGTGTACGGTGACGCCCGAGTCCGGCCCGGAAACGGCCCACACGTACAGAGGGCCGCGGTGAGAGACGAACGCTACGCTATCACCTGTGTTCCAGCACCAGCTTATCGAGGCAGGAATACCTGCGTGCGACAGGACACGACGCTTATAATAACACTCACACACTCATTTACACTACACAACATGAGGGTAGCATACTGTACACAAAAGTAACAATGTTTAATAAAGAAACCACAACACACAGGACGTAAAGAACAGCATGACGCAATGCAGTGAGGTGAATTCAGATCATTTTCCTAATATGATGCAATTTTCAGTTTTTTAACTAAAAATATTCTTGACATCTAAATCTGTAATACTCCAGAACTTGTAGTTTCTTATACGTTTGTACATTTAGTCTTTTTTTTCTCCAATACAATGGAGTCAAAGTGCCAAATAAACAGTCTGAGCATGCTAGCATGCTAACCTAAAATTCACTAGACATCTTAGCTAGCTAGATAAGTTTGAGTTACGTGTGCTAACGTCGGCGAAAATAGTGACATTTAAAGCAATTAAACAAAACATTTACATGCAAACTTGCACATGAAATTGAGTTTTGTTGCAAGAAAGTGTGTCGGCAGTCTGTCTTTCTTTTCTTTTTTTTATACTTGTTTATGTTTCGGCTGTAGAGATCTGGTCATTATGTACAGAATGACGTTATCCGCTATCTAGGTCTGTAATATGTGCAGTAGCGCTGTGCTTTTAAGAGCATGTATACATCAGTACAAGCCGAAAAGGTTTAATGTGTGAGTGGAAGAGTGCGCAGTGTGAGTTTATAAATGTGCGCGTGCTGCCTTTAGTGTTGTCGAGGCGAGCGATGGCCTTCTGCTCGGCCACGTTCCAGATGATCAGCAGGTTATCGGCGCTGGCGCTGGCGAACACCTCGGGGTTGTGTGGACACCACGAGATGGCCGTGATGGTCTTCTTGTGCTCGGACATGATGGCACGCAGCTTGAACTCGTTGTATCGGTGGTCCAGCTGAAAAGCCAGCGAGACATCGGAAAGGAAATTGCAGCCATGAAATGAAGGAAATACGTTAAATCAGATGAAATATCAGTCTCTGAAGCACTGTCGCTACTGGAGTGTTTGATTAAGAGGCATACTGGATAGCAGACATGATGCAGTCGATTAATCTGGAAGATGTGCGTACTTTCCTGGCATATTCATTTTCCTTTTCTCTTTGTATAACATATTTTTCCTGGACTAATACATCAGACTGGACTCTTTTCCCTTTCCTTATTAGGTAATTAATCTCAATTAAGACATGAACTCAGCTCCACTGCGCTCTATGCGGCGTGGTGAGAGGACGCTGCCGTGGTCATGTGTACTGAGAGACAAGATTCGGATTTTGTCTCCCCTGATCTGATGCTGTGTTCGGATTTCCCGAACTCTAACTAGGAAAAACAAAAGAAAACACCCTCTCGACTTGGAATTCCTAATGAGAAGGTCTCCTCCAGCATATGATGTCATGTAAACATGGCCGCTCACTCCGTCAGCAGTGAATAAAATATCCCTTCACTACTTTAAATTGATAGTTTATAGCAGTATTTACTTTAGATCACTTATATATACACACTGGCCATGCAG